AGCATTTTTTTAAGCAATCTGGCATTATTTTGTTCACTTATTCTTTTGTACATACTTAGAGACAGCATCTCACTGTATATGCTCAACTTAATGCTGCTGAGTTGTGCAAGATAAAGGTAATTCTTCAACTGTCTTGCTAAAATATAGCAAAAAATATTTTTAATGCTATCTAATTGCTACTGCCCCAAATTTTTTGGTAGCTGTCTATTTTAAAGTGAGTCTTATAATTAGCACATACCTTGCAAAAAGTACGCATAAATGGATATGCCCTCTCCTGCACTCAGGCACTACTACATATTGTCTGTAGCTCTAAACAGAAACAATACTGTAAAGTAGCATAAACATTTTATTTATAATGTGTACATCAGCTATGTGTCTGTAGTGCAAGCTGTTCTCCTTGCATCACGGACTACCTTGGTTGTCATGTAGATGGGATCATTATATGCATCCCAATGAATGAAATACAAAACTAAAGACAGTCTCACTTGTCCTGCCCTAGGGCCACCTAAAGAAGATGAGTGAGGAATATCTAGGCTCTCTCAGAGGATTTCCAGTGCTAGATTTAGGGCCAGATTTCCTCATGGGGGTTTACACCTACAGAGCGTATCTAAAGCTTGTTTCTGCCCTTCCTTGTGTCCTCAGCACAACTTTTTCTATGTCTCATGATTTGCAAAACCAATGTTTTGTTCATAGTCATCATCCACAGGTACACATGCATCACACACAGGACAAAATCCCAGTGAACCTCAATGATTCATGGGAGACAGCCTGTCCCAGGAGTGCCCAGCACCCACCCCTCTCTGCTGAAGTGCCAGGGGAGTTCCTAAATTTCACTGAAGATCTCACCAGTGTATCTTAGGCCAGAGGCCTGGACAAACAGCTAACACAGTTTTATTCTCAGAAACCCAGTGCAGTTAAGAAAGCTGGGAATTAAGCCTTCTCATTGATCTGGGTCACAGATTATAGTAGGAGAACATAAACATATCATTAGTATTCCCTTGGCTTGATAGCTTTACCTCTTTTTTTTTTTGATACTGTGGTTTCAGTCTGCTTTTTGAAGGCCATATTTCATCAAAATATAGAAACTGGTACTAAGAGGCCACCATTTTTTTCTTTAGTGTCCTCCTAAGACACCAGGGAGCTATGCACCCCCAAGCAAGGTCTAATAAATGGTGTGCCATGAAGAAACCTCTGCTTCTCCAAAGTTTCTGAGAAGCAGAGTCACCACAGTAATGTCTGAACAGGACAGAGGATGCTACCCCTCTGAGCCAACTAGCTCAGTTGGCATGAAGCATGATGGAGGAAATGGCTCTTGTCCCTTGGTGCAGCCCTTCATCACCTAAGATCTGCTAGTTCATCCACCACCATCTGCCAAGATGCTGCCTGTCCCCTACAGTGGCTCACAAAGATGAAGACAGTTCCTACAAATCACCTGACCCTTCTCCTTACTGGATTTATGTTAGAGGCAGGTAACGTGGACCCCAAACTCAGCCTCTGGATCCTTGAAGACTGCAAGACCCACACACCTGTCGTGGTTTAGCCCCAGCCAGCAACTAAGCACCACGCAGCCACTTGCTCACTCCCCCTACCCCGATGGGATGCAATGTAGAAACTCAGTTTAAGACCAATTAACCTACATGGTGTGCAGATTTGTGTTGTTTCTCTGAAAATCATTGCATTCCTTACTAAGAACAAAATCAGTTTCTTCAATAAACAGTATTAGAAGAGAGATGTGAATTATTTAACCTTCTCCTTTTCAGCCAAATGATACTTCAGTGTTTTAAATCAGGTACTTCAGAGGTACCACAAATTACAGCCACAAAGAAATACAAGCTGAGTACCAGGAGTTTTTATGCAAAGTTATACACAAATTCTGAATCAGAACAAAAACTGAACACAACCTCCCAGGCCAAAGGCTTACCCCTCATGGTTTAAACTGTATGTACTGCAGACAATTCAGAGGTGGTATTTGGACAAATAGTTGATGAGACATGAAGTTACACTCATGGTGGTTTTGCTCCTGCAACATCTAGGGGGAATTAGGATGTGTTTCTGAAATGGCTTAATCTTAAGGAACTCCTGGAGAAGAGGCACTTTTCTACATCTCTACTTGCATTCATAATAATTATCAGTCTTATCTATATGCTCAGAGCATGTTTTCTCCAGAAGCTGGCAAACCCATGCACCTGTGAAGAGATCACATGAGAACAAGTGTCCTCCACATGCATTATAATTGATTTTTATGGCACTATATAATAATAAAAGCAATATCAGCAGTTAGCTAACCTTGCAAATTCACAGGCACAAAAGCACTAATAGCACTATACAGTTCCCATTATGTTTTCTAAAAATCTTGGTACTGTCATTCTAAAATAGCACAGAAAAAACAACTACACACAGATCTTTTAACATGGGAAGCAGATTAGTGATAGTGAATGTTATCTGTATTTTACTGGGTCTTTTTTAATAAAAATATCCAATTACTAATAAACAAATAGACTAAAGGGGCCTAAATTGAACACTATGGCCTGGTTATGTTAATATGGTTTAGGAAAGAGTTAGCCATTTAGCATGCAGGGCAGTACAGATTAAAGGAAACTGCAGGAACTTGGGAAACCTTTACGCTTACAGAGGAATCTGTGGCGTTTTCTTGAAGCCTTGAGGCATAGGCAGCTGCCAAGCAAGAGTTGCTTTAATCATACTTCTGGGCTTAGCTGGATTCTTAAGTGTCTAAGTCCCACTTTAAGTGCCTGAATAATTTTCCGGATTTATCTTTTCAAGACTGAAGCAATGTCCAAGCACTTCAGCTGAGGCTGGATCAGATGGTGGAGGCACAGGTCTCTCAAGTTACAGTGACCTGATGTCAGAGGCAGGACGGAAAAGGCTGGAGGAAGAATGGGCTATAAATTGTCTCTAATTTGACAGGTGCTACAAAGTAGGCTGTATTGCAGCTCAAATCTAGCAGGAAAAGCTACAGGTAAACAAATAATCATTTCAACTACACCACAAAATTGTCATATTTTGGTGTGGATTGTTTTAGCAGAGTTTCTTAAGAAAAAAGAAAACCAAAAATGTCTCTTCTCTCCTCTCTGCTTTTATGAGTTTGACTTAAACCATCCTCTCAGCAGATATCTCCAAGGCATTGTCATGTTTAACTAGTTGTTTTCTGTATTACTATTATTATTATTCCAGGGTGAGATTCTCTGCAGATAAGCAGTCTCAGAGTAACTCAAAGAGTTTACAATCTAACAGTGAAGATCAGAGTAATTTTGAGGGGAAAAAATCAGGGAATAAAAAGAAGAAATACTTGTCAGTACATGATAAGCAGTTCTGCTAGTGTTCCAGCAGCCCCACCAATACCTACCTCTATGATGTACCAGCATGACTTTTTGTCTCAACATCACAAAGGAAATTTTGAAGGACATACTTTTTTCATTTTGCCAGTGTTTATTAGAAGGAACCCAGAAGTATGACAAGTAGCACTGAACATGCATGCACATTTCTGAGTGTTGTGAGTATACGGTGTAACCAGCATCTTGGTCTCACTGAACAGGAGTGTAGAAGTCAATTAGGATAAGCTATGAAGAGTCTTAAAAGTTAATTAAAGAGTTAAAGGACAGTATCCTGTAGTCAAATGAAAGACTTAAGAAAATGAATGTCTACTGAATATCCAGGAGTAGGGCAGGAATATACTTAAGACTTTTAGTTGGGAAATGTTCCATCTAAGAATTATTACAAAGAAAGGGTAGGTAAGACGTGGACATAACTCTTTAGTTCTTAAACTGCTTGGATTGAGGAAGATGTTTAGGTAACAAGACCATACAGTAGACAGGAGGATGGTGTTTCCCACAGTGGTCAAAACCAAGATACTCAAAAGGAGAGACAAGGCAGATTAAGATGTCTAGTGCAGCTACACTGCACTTGGTAATCTGGAGGGAGATGTCAGAGAGAGACCAAGTTTGTTAGCATGCAAAAGAGAAAGCAGATCATCTATACAGAACCATATCTGTGAGATACCCAATTGTATTTGCAAATGAGAGTGTCCATATTCCTGAACAGAGAAGATGAGATGACTCCAAGCAGACCAAAGATGACTCCAAGCGAAAAATTGAAGGGTGGTGAGGTACTTAGAAGGACATATCAAACAAATAACTAGAGAAATCAGAGAAGGATTCATTGAAATCAAAACACAAAGATTTTCTCACTGGAGATAATTAACAGAGTCAAGAGGTAACACTCAAGTCTTTCAAGAGGAACATTATCTAAGGAGTGAAGCACACCTAATGTTAGCTGCAAAGTTCCCCTTCTCATTTTTTGGTATATTAAAAAAATAGATGCTGATCTTCTCCTGGAAAGGACAGAGACATAGTTTGGCAGCAGGCAACAATTTCCACAATTTCCAATACTGTGACCACAGGTTTCATTTTACTGTATAAGCTAGTGAAACACAAACCTTCAGAGGTTTTGGTTCAAAAAGTATTTACAGAAATACACTTTTCTGTGACTTTTGTCCTTTGTTCAGTTATAAACAAGAGAATTTGATCTCTACACTACTATTTAAAATATTTAATGATATAAAGCTTAAGCCTGGATCTCCTCAGATGTCTGTAGCTGGGCAAACAGAATTCACTCACTCAAAACCAGACTGACTTTCATAAGCAATGGTTCAAGAGCATGAGACCCAAACTCACTTCTACACAGTGCTCCAATTTTTAACCTTCTTTTTGATCAAAAGTCTGAAACCTGAGTTTTCACAACTAATGAAGTTCTGTGAGCTTAATTGTCACCCTCCAGAAACAACACAGCTACTATCTGTGTGTTTAGCAACTCATTGCCATGCAGTGAATCTTCACAAGGCAATACTGTTGTCTGAAATGAAAATGCAGTAAGGACCAATTTTCTTTTCCATCTTTATTCCCTCCACAGGAACTTTCTTGGTCCTTAAATGGTGCTGCCCAGCTGTGCCAAAAATGGCTTGCCAAAGACTAACTTTTAAATACCTTGACAGTAATGGTTTGCGCGTTGCTCATCCTTGCGGGGCCGGAGACATGCTGTTTCACTGCTTTCCTGGATTCTTTCACAGTTACCAGAATAAGAGAGTAGGAAGTAACAATTACTCCGCAAGGGAGCATAAAACAGAAAATGAAGAGGACTACGGTGTAAGACATGGCCACGGCATTTACGTTGGTGGAACGCCAGTCAATGCAGCAGGCTGTGCCATAGGGCTCCGCTCCATACTCTCCCCAGTGAGCTAGGGGAGAACAGGCAAAAATTGCTGCATAAGTCCAAGCACAGGCTATCAAGATTTGTCCATGTTCTCTCCTGAACCTGTTCCCTGGAAGACACAAAACAAGACCAGCGTGGTTGCCATGTCTGCATGGAGTTTCCCATATGCAGGCAGCTGAGCAGGGTAATTAAGAAGGATGACTTTAATAGGTGTTCAAAATATTATAGCATATTGAAGGTTTGTAAGAATAGGGTGTGGTTTGCAACGATTTACAAAAAAATTAGATAGCTGAATTCTCTGATACATGTGGGATACTTAGCACAACATAAATCTGTATGAATAAATCTCTATCAAAATGTATCAACAAACTCTGAAAAAATTAGTTTATGCAGGCCAGCCTTGCTTTCAGATCGGAACTCTTATTCCCTGTTTCCAAATTATCACCCTGACTTAAAAGAGCTTAAAAGCAATCAGTTGCATATATCTAGCCCTATAGTTAATATCAATGATCACAGAAATAAGAATTGTTTAACTGGATGTAAAAGATCTCTATTATAAAAATACTGTCTAGGATATGCAACACAGAAATGGTGGTCTGTGTTCACATGAAAAATTGAGTCATTTAGGACAGAAACATTAGCTTACCGTAAGCTGGAAAACAAATTTTGAGGCAGCACACCATGCTCAGTAATGTCAGCGTTGAGAGACTGCAGATCCCAAACAGCACCCCACAAAATGCATAGAACAAGCAAATCTGTTTCCCATACAGCCACCTGCCAAATAACCAAGAAAGTTAATTTAATAGATGCTATTCTTCTTTCTTAAATGTAAAACCAAATGGTAGAAATATATTTACAATGGTAGCCTTAAAAATTCAATTAAACTATATGATTAAATTATTTGTTGGTCAATGATCAACTACAAAAGATACTGTCATTTGAAAAAGTTACAGACAGTAAAGTAATCGTGTCCTGCTTTATTTTTATAATTCACATTTAAGCCTTTTTAATTTTATAAAACAAAGCAGTATATCTTAATGATAATCATTCTGAAAAGAAAACTCAAAATTCTTGTCACTAGTAGGCATAGGCCATAAAATAATATAGCTGATTATTATTTCTGCTATCTTTATATATATTTTTAAAACTAGTTTTCATCAAAACCAACACATTCTCTTGTGAAGGTTCTTCAGAAGAACAAAAATTCTATCTGAATCACTATACATCCTCCCTTTCTATTCAGACACTGGCAGTATTTGCAGTAGCAGTTATCAAAAGCCCTATTCTAGATTTTGAAGACATCATCTCCATTAGTCAATATATTTAGCGATATTTTAACACAGAAAGTAATGTGGTAAAAACTGAGTAATTACTGGATCTTTTTCTCTTATTTTTTATTTTTATGCCAAAATGAGAGAAAACTAGATGGGAGAAGGACAGAGAGAGATTTTTTTCACCTCAAACCAAACACATTTTTTTCAGTTTGGTATAACTGAAAAGAAAAAATTACCCAGGGGTTATGTTAGGTGAAGTGTTCTCAATCTTTTGTTAAATATATTCTACTAATTACACTATTAAACACACATTCCTAGGTTTCTCAGTAAAGTCTTTTGGGAAGCCAAATCAGCACTGCATATTCACATCTGTACAGTTGCAGGATATTCTGCAATGACTGGAATAGACCAAAATATCACAAATACCATCCTATCCCAAACCATGCAGAACAGCTCCTGACAACCAGTTCTGATCTTCCTTCACCTTTTCTAAGTTCCCTTCTCTCAAACACTTTCATGCTGCCTGGGTTGCACAAATACTATCTGAGGTCTAGTAATGAGTTTCCTAAGCCTCCCTAACTTTAAAAGAAGATCAGAAAAAATAGATATTGCACAATGATATGAGGTTGAATTCCTGTGGGGAAAAAAAGGACATAAGTGGGGAAGGAAGAAAGAAGTTCTAAATTCAGGGTGTTGGCTTAAAATTTAATCCAGAACATTACATTCCTATGCACCATCACTACCACTACTTTTGGAGATGATAAGTAAATTCAGGATTTTCTTTTCACGGTACCAAATTTCACTGTCCAACTGAAAAAAAATGAAGCATTTCACTATTACTTGAATAATACTATCCACAAAGAATAAAAGCAGTAGGAAGTGGATGTTTGGGGAAAAAATCTTCTCAGCCCTGCAGAAAGCAGAAAGATAATGACCTCAAATAGTCATGAATGCTAATTAACACCAGCAGTCCATGAAGCTGCTGTTACAGAGCATACTTCTCTCAAGCCCTCTAATTAATTCCCACTTTTATGGCAAGCAAAGTGGCAGAGTAATTTGATCTTCATCACTGACACAGACCTCCAGAGCCTGCAGAAGATGTTAAATATCATGTGCATCGTGAACAAACCTGTGTGAAAGGCTGGAGGTTACAGCTAGAGGGTACAATGTCAGAGTCATACCAAGGTCACTGATGGCAAGGTTAATAATGAAGTATTCTGCTGGTTTCAACAAATTCTTTTTCTTATAGGAGACATATAGGAGAATACTGTTCCCACACAAGGAACATATTCCTGCAGAGAAACACATAATATGGAGAAAAAGTTACTTTCAGCCATCCTTTTTTTTTTTTCTGCACAAGAATAATGTGCTGTCATCATAGATAGCATTTATCAGATAAACTTGTCTCTTTTTTATAGTTGTGTTTTCTCTCCTGTATATATCATCTTTAAAAAAAAAAAATAAAATTCCTGGTTTCTTCCTGTTTTGTCCACAATCTACAAAGATCTAATGAATTATTTTATCCATTAAATTAACTGACCTGCAAAAACCCATTTTTCCTGGAGGAAGCTGGCATTAATTAAGCCAGACAATATCCATCTGGCGCTGCACACATTTACCCAGTTCCAGGTCTAGAGGTCTCCATTCACTAACCCTTCTTCCTTTCCCTTTGAGGCATTGTCTCAGAGGTGCCTGTTATAGTTCCTAGTAATAGTAGGCAATATAGAGAGAATGCCGAATTATGCATGAAAGAGAAAAATGTAGTTAAGTAATGTCTCTACTGTGTGTAGATAGAACTATTTTCTCTGGGAATGCCACTTTTACTATGAGACCTGCCAAGAAACTTAAGAAGGCTGCAAGTAGTCTAGTAGAAGACAAGCAATTTGTTCTCTACCTTTAAACTGACAGGACCAAAACCTATGATAGATACACAAAGTTAGATAAGAGTTAGGTGACCGTCGGTTTAGAAGGTCAGGCAACAGTCAAAACCCAGAGTTTTAGGCAGCCTTTTATAGACACACAAGAACAACACTTCCAAACATAAAAGCTTCAAAGGGCCATGAACATGAGAATGCCTAATGGAGGGGCCCTTAATTAATGCCATGTGAAATCAAGCTGTTGAAGAGAGACCAAGTGTGGACCTCACTGCCTGTTAATTCATACTTTTGGAAAAAGCAACACTTTACTTACAGTATATAGGTAAATATTGATAGAGAAATTGAGGTTGCATAGAGACCACAAACCAACACTGGCTTTGAATTATACCCAAAGGAAATATTCCTAATTTAATCATACTCTCAGAGGAAAAAAAATACATAATTTTTCCAAATGTTCTGTAGATTATGGTATTTTCTTATAAGGAAATGGCAGATCAGCAAGTAATGTTAGACACTGATACTAAACTTCTTTCCCTCACTGATCTTAAGTCCATTTAAGATAGTCGTAATTTAAATTCTTCTGGAGAGAGAAAAGATATTCTCCTCGAATTCTTCTCCTGCAAATGTGCAACAATTTTGTTCCAAACATTTTTCTTCCAGGACCTCAAAAATATAACAATGAAAACACAGTAAAAGGCAATCACTTTGTTTAAAATTATTATTTCCATTTTTCTTTCCACATTTTAATATTTTTCAATGTTTCAATTACATTTCAATCTGATTATCACTTGGTACCTCTAAAAGGAACATTATCTAAGCAGTATCAGGTTGGCCGAGGTCAAGGAGCACAGATCATCAGACTATCAGGATATGCTCTCTCACTGTTCCTACTGCAAGATTAATTTTAACCAGAACATAAAAACTGTAGCCACACCAGAGATATCAGTTATACCAAATATCTTCAGTGGCTATACTACAGGAGAGTCAATCATCACACTTTTCTTTAGCAAAAACTCAATTTTATTTTTTGCTTTTATTTCCCATGGTGTCTGTTCTTGTCTGGATTACCAGCTCAAGTCCATACACAGTTTTTTAGCATGCATCAACTGACATTGTAGTAATTTTTGGATCTAGTTGACTGTATGGTCAAAGCCATCGCTGTTCACATACATTTCCATTGTGAAATTTGTGGAGGGAGAGATGGGAAGAGGCTTTATCTGAATTTTTTTTTTTCCTTGTTAAGGACATAATTTTTCTTTCCAGTATTACATGCAACTTTTACAAAATACCAGCCACTGGAAACCACTTTTCCATGTTTCCCATTCCTCCTCATATTAGAAAACAATGGAATAAACTGCTTAGTGAGTTCATGGAAAGTTTTCCAGAGAAGGCTTGACAAATTTTGGCCAGGAATGTTATAAGGGGTCAACAAATGCACTATATGCTCTATCAGGATCACTCCAAGCTCCATTTTCTATGGCCTTGTGAACATACTGCATCTGTCTCCTAAGCAGGGCTCTTCAACAGCTTTGGCATGACTGACAGAGCAGATACTGAAGATACATCCTGAAAAGAGATCCAGTGATCTGAGCGTGGTTGATTATGAAGGGATCCAGAAAGAGAACATTAAAAAGAAAGTTATGAGGCAACACTATGCTGTATGACTAGCTGAACAAAGATGGGAGAGGAGAACAGGGGACAGGCATAGATGAAATTTTTACTATTTTACCAGCAGTGTTGTCAGTAAAGAGGTCTGCATCTTACTGTTGTTGATAGCACATAGGAAACACCAAATCGAAAAATAAAGCTACACCGGAAAATTTCAAGTCCATCTGGCAGGAGAAAAACAGCATGAGGTTTCTGATGAGAAATTACCTTATCATTAGCTGAACCAGCTCTGCAAATTCAGGAGTCTCTAAATTGATATACATTGTCGAGCCAGGCTATAAGTCTCCTCTCAAACTCACCTATCCATATACAGCTATACTCTAAAAGAAATAGGCCTACATTCATTTCATTTTTGCAATCCAAATGTTGAAAAAACATGTTACTCTTTGAAGCATTAGGATGCCAATATTCATTGACAGTCAACGGGGACAAAAGACACAGGTTCACTCTTTTTTAGCGTTATATTTATTTTGCAGTAATCACATACTTCAGGGCTAGTACTGGTTGCCTCAGGGAAAGAAATTTCCATGGAGGATTTTTTTTTTCCTGTTAGGGCATTCATTTGGCTTCTACAATTTTTTTTTTCACCATCATCTGAAGCACCAGATATCCACGCCTACTGACTGAACATAGCCAGGGTGGCCACTGCTCTCGCAGATGTCTGGGTTGCCTTTCCTGGCCTCTGGCTCATGGTTATACTCACCAGTACCTTTAGGATTGGATCTGGATTTTTCTTCTCAGTCAAACCAGGACTATGGAGGATAAATTTGCCTCTTCTCTAACAGCATAGCCACCTCCCCAGAAATCTCACTTTCTAAGGCAGTGACTGGACATTGGACATAAACCTGATTTTCCAGCACCTTTCCTGGTCACGTTATAATTATGGCTTTTGGTATTTTACTTCAGGCATTATGAGGAGTCAGGTTATGTTGTTCTATGGTTTGCAATGATGTATGGAAGAGATGCTTTCCTGTTTAGACTTAACAATGATCACACAGATGCTGAGAACTGCCAGGGCCTCAAAAACCAGTGTTCCTGTCCAGCTTTATATTCCTAATACTGAATAAAGTTTTTGTACCTAACATAAATCACAGGTTAGAAACCTTTCAATGATTTTACTCTATGCTTTTTTCCCCTTTTTTATGAATACAGAGAAGTTCATCTGTGTCAGAAACAAACTTGACTTTTACAGTCAATTCTCCTTACCACATCAAATACAGCTAAAGATCTATAAACACACATACCATGAAATCATACTTACCAAATACTATATAACATATTCCAACAACAATATCAGCTGATTCTGTTATTTTGGACTGGAATGTTGAGTTCCCCAAAGATGGGCCCATCTGAAAAACAAAACAGGAGACGGTATTAGAAATTCAGTATCCAAGCAGACACCTGTGAGCTCTCTGCAAGGCTATAAGCTGTTTGGTGGGGAAAGGACAGGGAGTATTTTATTCTATTTTATTTTCTGCATTAATAAATAATCTATCTGAATGCAGGATGCAAAGAGGATGGAGCCAGGCTCCTTTCAATTGTGCCCAGTGCTAGGACCAGAGGCAATGGGCACAAGCTGAAGTACAGGAGGTTCCCTCTGAACATCAGGAAACTTTTTCACTGTGAGGGTGACAAAGCACGGGCACATGTTGCCCAGGAAGGTTGTGGAGTCTCCATCCTTAGAGATACTAAAAAAACCCATCTCAACACAGTCCTGGGCAACTGCGTCCAGGTGGCTCTGCTTGAGGAGGGGGGTTGGACTAGAAGACCTCCGGAAGTCCCTTCCAACCTCAACCATTCTGTGATTCTGTGTAATTTACAGATGAAATTAGCAAAGTATATGAGAGAGTAAAGGGCTGAATGTAAATCAACAGCCCTTCCTTTAGTGTATGGCTCCTGCCAATTCCCTTAAACTATAACAGACTGAACTGTCTCAAATTTCAGGAGTGTGTTATTAAATGTAAAAGAGTCTGTATTTCAGGTATCCTATGTGTCAACTCTGATCATAACTACAGGTGTTAGTATAAAGCCTTCAGCAAGGAGACATGCTATGCAACAGGTCAAGTCAATGGGATATTGCTCAGCTTCTCCTAGCAAAATCCGTTGTGAAGAGAGTTACACTAATGAAAAAGAGCTTCTGTCAACTGTCTTCATGTTGGCGTCACTCAGAAAAAGGCCAGAGTTACCACTTACTGTCCTCTGACATTCCTGTATTCAAGGAGCCTGCTATGGGGTCAGCCCTGTGATGCAGTCCAGACCTTACTGTGCTTGCGGATGAGTGCAGGATCAAAGTGAGGACAGTAACATGTGATAAAATTGCAATACACCTGCTAGAACCAAGCCCAGATATGTAGATGTTCTCACATACAGGGTTTAACATCTTACAATTTAAGGGCAAAGACCTCAGGTGGGGCTGTCTTCTAGCACAGTCAGAAAGAAAGGCTAATTAGCAAAGGCTAATCTTTTTGTTTGTTTGTTTTTCCTCCTCTCACAGATGCTGTTGTTGTGTTGTCTTAACCAGTATTAGAGAGCTTATCTGGAGCTGGTCTTGGCAAACTGAAGTTACCACAAAAGTATGATGACAAAAGCTCAGCAAGATCTTCCAGATATATTCACAGGCCTTTGCCTTGGATAATGGTAAATATATTTCCACTGCCGGTCATTTCTCACTTTCTCTTTGCTCCATTGAGTTTCTTGTTGCAAAGGGAGAGCTCCTGTCTCCTGACAGCAACAGGCTCTCGCTCCATCCCCAGCACAACAGCAGCTCACAGTGAAGCAGCAGCACGGCTTTACACATTTGGCTTGAGGCAACATGGGAAGCATCAAAGAAAAAGCATCTGGAGAAATGAAGTCATCTTAGCAAACAGCTAAAGCTCCCAGTTCACATACAACTTGAACCCACTGTGTTTTAGCAAAGCATCTGGAGAAATGAAGTCATCTTAGCAAACAGCTAAATCTCCCAGCTCACATACGACTTGAACCCACTGTGTTTTAGGTAACTGGTGTGTATCCACATTAAATAATGAACTTGTAGCTGCATTTTTTTCTTTCAGTGTAATAAGGCAGAATATCTAAATTCAGCTTGTCCATCTTCCCTACAGCTTCCTATAAGCTGCTTATTCTCCCAGTGGTCCATCACTTGTTTCTACATAAAACCCTCTTTCCTCAGTTGCTATAACCCAGGACACCTCCACTGAAACCAAAGGGGCTACAT